TTAAAGAAAATTCGGCGCGAGATTCGGGATTAAAAGTATGCTTAGGGGGCGCGATGCCAAAAATAACCATCGGGATTACGGGACTGCGCGAAATTTTGGGTCGGGATTACACGATTGAAGAACTCTGTTGGGAACCCTCTTTACATGAACAACTAAAGATTAAATATAATATACTACACTGAAACAGGAGCCAATAAGGGTTCCTGACTGAAATTGCTGCTGAGAAAGTAAATGAACCTTCATTAACTTTTCAAAAGCTCTGACGGAGGAGCAGGCTTTAAATTGTCATTTAAGTTATTCCAGATGTTAACAGCTCTGTGCATAAATGTTCGCTGACCAGTAGCAGTTTTAAACAGTGGTGTTCAAGGGTGTCACTCTTGCGGGTAGGCAGGCTATGGCCATAAACAAAGGGAGGCAAAAATTTGTTCAATCATGATATGTACCACAGATTAAGGAATAACAGATTGGGCCAAGCCCTCAATAAAAACTATTCCTCCATGTCAGAAAACGCCGACGTCTGACAAAAAGCCTCATTTTAATTTTAACCAAGGCAAAGAGCTAATCGACCACCAGTTGATATGCGAACGGGTCATCACGGTGACAATAATAGGTGACTTGAAACCTGCTAACAAATTTTTTCTCAGCAGGTACTAATTTACCTTCTTCAGATGATAACAACACCATTATTTTGAAGCTTTCTTTTGCACTGAAGCGATCAATGACATTTTTTTTTTACATTTTAGCTGAGACATGCTTGGCTTATAGATATTTAAACGCTTCCCGCCGACTGAACAACAGCCTCAATGTACCCTAAATGCCGGTGCTATATTTGGTTGAACCCAGTGGTCGTGTTACTGACATGTCTTTTAATGTGGATGGCGTACAGCTCCTTACAATTGTTTCCGAATGAAAGGGAACCAGAAAAGGTAATCATTTTTTTGTACACATTTCAACAGATATTGAGTTTTATGAGCATTTCCGATAAAGAGCGTAGCACCACGGGTAAGAATATTTGGTTATCTATGCATACGAGAAAATTTGATAGTCACGTGACCGAACGTCGTCCGCCCGACCGTCCGCAGCACAGGGAAAACAATAAGAGTTTTCTAGCTAGTATGGGAGTCTGTAACCTTCTTGATTATGGTCAATTGACAACTGTCAAAAGATGTATCCGCTGACCAGAATCACATGACCGTATGGCGGGCTCAGCTAGACCAGCTACTAGCTTTGAACTGATCGCAGGCTTAAGTTTATGTTTTCAGTTAGTCCCCAAAGGTCACGTGTTAAGTCAGGTTATGGGCTCCTGGTGAAGTGTAGATTTGTGGATTTCCTTGCAATGGTTCCAAGTTCACTGTTTAACTAACTGGGACGGAAGCTTCGCTTTTAGCTCTGACTAAATCTATATATCATGTTATTATTTTTAAAATATTTCTCATTTTCTGATTGGAGTAAAGGTCCCGACTTATTTTTCAGCTATAAATCGTTGAACAAAATTAAAATGGACGGTGTATGCCTACAAGGCTTCAAGTCAATATTCAACCAGATACTCTGACTTTTACCGACCTGCTTAATTCTTTATATCCTACTCAGCCTCATTTAATAATTGCTAATTATATAATAAATACCCAATAAGATAGCAGTGTAAATTGAAACGTTAACCGGGTCATTCCTACTAAGTTAAAATTGACTACAGCTTGCCTGGAACCACAGTGTTACCGAAAGGGTCTATGGCCACCTATTTCACGCCACTTCAAAACACATCCCACATATTTCTAAACGTTTACCAAGAAAAGAAGGCAGTTTCCAGAGGCTAAAGACCTCGGCGGATAACATCCTCCTCAGTCTCCATAATTCCTCGTCTCATAAGAAAGAGTGTTCATTATTCATTGAAAGGACAACAATTAAAAAATCGGTATTTATTATATTTTAGTTCATTTTATTATCTTGCCACACAAAATAAATTACAGAAAGTAGAAATAAAAGCATAATAAATGGATAAATACGAGAGACATTAGATCAAAATAAATAAACAGCTCAGGCGGGAAGGTGACGACTGTGGCGGGGAAGTATCCAAGACAGAGGCCAAAGAGCTTATAAGAAACAAAATAAGATATTTCCCCTCATCAACAATTTAAATACAAGGCGGCATTAAAAAATAAAAGAAAAAAAAGTGTATGGGGTTATAAGTATGGACAATGAACAAATATAGATAAATCATGAAGGTAATCAGATATTTAACCTGCACCCTGTATGACCCTTAAAAATGGTTTTATCGGTCGCTTAAATACGTTAAACTTTGGGGCGTCTTTGATGTTGTTCGGTAGAGAATTCCATCTCGATTCTAGGACCTTGAAACAGGATCAAAAATTCCTTAACATTTGTTCTACAAGTATGAGGTCGGTAAAAGTCAGAGTATCTGGTTGAATGTTGACTTGAAGCCTTGTAGGCATACACCGTCCATTTTAATTTTGTTCAACGATTTATAGCTGAAAAATATGTC